GGCCCTGGCCCTGGCCCTGGCCCTGGCCCTGGCCCTGGCCCTGGCCCTGGCCCTGGCCCTGACCTGCCCTCCCTTCTGTCCCAGTTGCCAAGGCTCTTCAGGAGTTTGACCTGGCGCTACGAGGCAAGAAGAAGAGGAAGATGTTTGTGAGGGATTCCCAGAAGAAGGCCCAGCCAACAGTGAGTAGCTGCCTGGAGGAGGGCAGGGGAAGGGCTGGCGGTTGGGCCTCTGCCAGGTCACAAGCAGTGTTGCGAGTGTCTCTCTTGTTTCATAGCCTGAGGAACGGTCGCAGTTTGAGATCCTGAAGGCCCAGATGTATGCTGAGCGGCTCGCCAAAAGAAATCGACGACCCAAGCGAGCCCGTGCTGTGCCGGAGGAAACGCCGCCAGTAGAAACAAAGGCTGGTGAGGAGAGAGAAGGCCTTCCCTTCCCTTCCCTTCCCTTCCCTTCCCTACCCTTCCCTTCCCTTCCCTTCCCTTCCCTTCTTCAGAGAGCAGCAGTGCTGGAGGGGCTGTGGGCAAAGGGAAGGGAAGGGAAGGGAAAGACAGGCCTTGCAACCTGGCTTCTCGGCTCTTCTCTCTTCTGAAAGGGCCCAAGCAGCAGCGCCAGAAAAAAGCATCGGCCTTTGACGTGGAGCTCACCAACACAAACAGGAGGGCCCTCAAGCAGTATCGAGCTGGGTGAATATTCCTGCTCTGCCCCTTGCAGCTCCCTCCCTTCAGGGGCAGTTGGGGTGCTCTTTCTGGAGGCTTCAACAATCCTTTTCCCCCTATGGGCTCAGAAGCTAAGTATGGTGGGTGGGGGCAGGACTTGGATGGGAGACCACGAGAGAACCCTAGGGTGGGAAGTAAAAACAAAATCTCAGAAGGCAGCAACTGGGAGATTTCTGCACTGTGAGCAAGAGAATTGCATAGTTGTGCCCAGAGGGTCACCAGGAGCGAAACTTAACTTGAAAGCATCTCCCCCCACCCCAAAAAACACTAGGCAGCTGAGAGAGCAAGGCTGAGGCCTTCTGGTTCCCTTGGACGCTTGAGGTTCCACTGAGGGTGATGCTGGCGGTTTTCCTCTATAGGCCCTCCTTTGAAGACCACAAGCGGCTGGGCCTTCCTGGTAGAAGGAAAGGAGGAAAATTTAAAACCAAGTCCAGGTAAGGCTCCTTACAACCAGTCCTCCTTCCTGGATCCTTCTCCAGCACTGAGATGTTGCTTTCTTGTTCTTTGCAGGTACAAGCGGAAGTGAGCGCACCCGTTAGCTGGGTTGCAGAGGTCTCTACACGGCAGCCGTCTGTGGGAATCCAAGATCGCCTGGTAGCCATTAGCTCTAGTTGCAGCAGCCTAGCAGCTGGAAACAAGCAATCCCCAGAAAAACAAGCTGGCTGCTTTATGACGTGGCTGAAGAACTGGGCGTTAGGAGGCGCTGGTGGTTGGGCCTCCCTGGCAGTCCTGAGCGTCCGTTTCTCTGAAACTTCCTAAGAAGACCTTGATACCAAATAAACAACTGTGTTGTTGACTCAGCTGCCTTGTTCTGTCTCGCTTTTCTTTTCTGCCTTGCTGTGGAGCCTGGGTGACCTTCTTTACCGAGCTGACAAACGTTAAAGGAAACTCTGACGTTCACCTGAAAATTCCAAGAACTCCTTTACTCACTAAAATGGTTCTTAGTAAGAGTGAGGTATGCTTCTGATAAAATCAGCAGGGGGAAGTTTAGAAATGCTCTTCTCTTCAGCTGCTGTATGTGCTCTGGGTCTCCTTCCGGTCACCTGACTGTTCAGGGCCAAGAAAAACTAACTTCCTGTTCACCTGGGAGGAAAAAGTTGTTTTCTGCCCTGTTGATCTACATTGTAAACACCATTCTTCATTGGCTTCAATGCTAGAAACCTCAAAACATAAATTGTCCAAGCCATAGACCGCAGCTTGCTTCCCCACGTGGGAATCATCCCACTTCACCGGGCCAGATGTCAGGTCTCTTGTCTGGTAACAGGAGGCTACTTCACAGTAACCCCAACTATGTTTCTTGATTCCTGAAGAAGTGGAATTGGTGAGAAAGTCTGCTGCGCTGTTGCCTCAACTGGGACCTAAGAATTCCTCACTGGCAAACATCACAGCTGAAGTCTGGGTTACAAATCTGGAAGGGCTGGTGCAGGTGACTGCCCTACAGATGCCCACCAGCAGGGTTCCTGCCCTAGGACAGCCCCCTTCCCAAATGGGTAGCAATTTTCTCAGGGATCTGTCCCAGAGCAGTGCAGCACGCGCTTTTCAGCAGCTAACAGGACACGCTGTCTGGTTTCTAACGTGCCCTTCAGGCCTGCAAGATAACTCCTCCTCGGGATAGATTCAGGCAGAAATCCAGCAACAGCCCCTCGTAACCTATAGAAGCCGTCAAGAATGCCAAGGAAGTATTTTTATTGGGATTTGAATGGTGTGGCTTGTGGGACCACTGTTAACTTCCAGAGGGGGATTCTTGCACTGAGAACCCCTGAGATGAGGTGCCCTGTGATTGATCTTAGAGTCTATGTTCTGAGTTTCTGTGTTTTAATTGGTTGCTGAGAGATTCTGTCAGGTAAATAAATTTTGATGCTGAAACAGTCAAAAGTGGCTTACAGGTGTGAGCAATGAGGGGCTTGGGCATGGCTAACCCAAACTGATTGGTTACAGGTAATATAAAAGAGAGAGCCTAGCAAGTTTCTTTCTCTCTCTGCTATGACTACGTTGCTGTTGGACTGTTTCTGCTAGTGAGTTCTTTGCCTGATGTAAGTTGCTTTACTATTATTTGTAAATAGACTGCACATAAGAAAAACTACGGACCGTCTGTTTGTTTTCTTCTAATACCACTCACTGGTTTAGCAAACTGCTTTGCCCTGCTCAACAGATTCAGCCATATTCTCTGTCCCCAGTCCTTGGGAACAACGACCAAAATAGTGATCCTGGGAAGAATTCTTACAAATGCATCCTTGTGCCAACGTCTAGGAGCTATTAACTGCCTGTAGTACTTTATGTTTTTCTTTGATCCTGGATACTTGGACTGGTAGAAATCTGTCTCGATTTTTGCTGGAACTAGAGTACACTGTAGTTTGACGGGCCCTGGCAGGGGTGCTGATTTTTCTGTAAGCAGAAGCCCAGCTGGGCTTTTGTGGTGTCAAGCATAGGTTCGCTTCCTTCAAACTCAAGTCTTACTCTCCCTAGTGGGTCTGGAGCAGTCATAGCTGCGTGACTGTCAGCTGGAGTGCTGTGGAGATCCAACTGTTTTGTTCCTGAATGAAAGAGAGCTGTGACTTGGCTTCTGCTGTGGGAAGATGAGGATTTTTCTTGAAATCCTTCTTACAGGCTGTGAACAGTAACTTATCCCTGCTCTTAATAGGTACTGGCTTGACGGATTTGCCAAATAGCGTCCGTCCAGGCATGTCTTAATGTGAGCCCAGCCATGCTGCAGTGATTGGATCTTCTGGCATTGGAGCCATACTGTAGTCCCCGGATTACTGTGCCTAAATGGGGTTTGCAGCTCACAGCAAATTGGAAAACACCCAAGGATGAGTTGCTTATGAATTCTGAGTTCCTCCCCAGCTTAATGGAGTGCCTGGCACTCTGGACGTTAACATTCAAGCCCATACGGGGCTTCCAGGTGAGGTGTTATGGCCGGTTGGACGTCTCTGTGAGCGGCTCTTCAAGCAGAGAGAGCACAGCGGTGGAATTGCCAGCCAGGAGACGGTACTGGCTGACAGAAATTTCTCCAGAGGAAGGAGAAATCGGGGATTACCCACTTGTGCTCTGGAAGAGCTGCTCCTCACAAGAAAGCTGCAGGAATTTAGTTTTTTGTGGTCGATCATGGGTTGAGCGGCTTGGGACCCGAGAGATTTACAATGTGCCCTAAATTGCTATGCTACCTTTATGGAAATTTGACTGGTGAAAGCATCACCTTCTTAATCGCTTTATAATTTAATTGCTTTACAACCTAAGAGAGATATTCCGAACAGCAGCAAAGATCAAAAACTCTCAGTGAGTGCCTACTTTTTGAAATTAAGAAGAGAAACCCCCCCCCCCCCCCCCTTCTTA